ATACACCTAAAGAAAGAAAAAACTCTTTAGTTTATAATGACAAATTTGGCATGGCTACACTGTGTTATAAAAGAAAAAATTAATACACACCATGTATTTCCTGTCCTATGGTGAGGTAAGAATTTTATACGATAAGCTACAGGATCTTGTTTTCCCTCTTCTAATGTTAATTTCATACGTAGAGTTGCTTCACCTTCATCTATTTTCCCATTTTTCATATCCTACAAATAAGATGCAAAATATATCAAGAAAAGAATAAAAAAATAAACAATATTAAAATCAGAATTTGGCATTTAATAAAAATAATGGAAGATAAGTGATAAGGTTTTATATATTTGTCATAAACAGAACATATAAAATACAATAAAATCACGCAAACTTCCCACTTTAGTAAGCCATGGATTTTGGAGTGGATGTGAAATTTTGCTCAGAAAAAATAAATAAATAAATAAATAAATCCTACATTTAGGTGTAGTTAAAAAATACCTGAGATCAATAAATAAAAAATGTGTAGCCTTAAAAGACGATTTAGTTTCATGATCCCACAAAATCATAATCCCTTGCAGGTTGAACCTTGGGGAAACTATTTTCATAAAATAATTAATAATGCAAATATTACTACAGTGCAAAATCTTGAATGATCTAAAATCCCGACCACTAGCTACCTTTTTTCTTTTAAAAAAGGCCTTTTTTTGGTATGCTTTGCATATTGATTTGATATTTTTTCATAACAAAACACATGCAGAGTCCTGATTCTTAATTTCACTGTGGCACAATATCAATAATTTGGTTGTACAGCCATCTTTTTGCTTGGCATATATCTCAAATCAAAGCTTCTACATGGACACACCCTTGATTTTACACCTATTGAATAAGTTATATCCGTGATAACCATTATTTTTTTTATTTTCTTTGGTGATGACTACAGACTTTAGCTAAAAGCACTGAAAGATTGAGAAGGAGAAATTTAACAGAATATTCTTTTCATATGCAAAAAATATAATTTTATTAATTACAAAAGATTACATTTTTGCTACTTGAATTTACAATAACTGATTTGTTGTTCAGATAAGCTTAGGTATATGCAGGAATTTAATTCAGGACTTAGATAAGCACATGTGGGGGGATAGACATAAGTATAATAAATAACTAGTGTAATTCTGGTCAAACTTCCTAAAAGATGATATAATAGTTTTTCATTGTGATGAACAATGCTCTATTCATCAATCAACTAATGAACAGCGAAAACTGTAGTATGGTTTTAAATCCAGAATATATTGGTACCGATGTGACATGGAGGTTGTCGGGAAAGGCAAATTTTGATTGACAATTTAGTGGGAATTCTCCATATGACAATTACAATAGACTTGGTATGGACTTGAAGAATGAAACTTTGTAACTGAATAAAAATTATGTCTGCCCATAGAATTAAACAGAAAGTAAAAGCACATAAAAATGAAGCAATTTAAACTGGAAGAACTGTTTAATAAAGTAAACAAATATATTTTGAGCCTTTATTTTTTTAATAAATTTCGATTCCCTCAAGATCATAAATATTTCATTATTTCATAAATCACTATTTCACACTTTTAATTTTATAATTTCTATATTCATCTTATTAGATTTAAACTGATAATCTAATATCAGGAAAAATTCCAAATCTGAAATCATTGAAGTCCCTGTAAGTTAGGATCTCAGACTCTTAACTGTAATATTTTTAGAAGCCTGTGGATTTTAAACTAAAAACACAGATGATTAAAAATACCTCAAATAACCGTAAGCTTTCTTCAACTGGACGGTTTCGCCATGGTGAAGGAGGAGGGTTGAAACCTTTAATTTCTTCTTGTTTCTGATGACATACATATGCGAAATCCTTTCTGATCAATGTACGGGCATATTCATACAGCTGATCAAAATAATCTGATGAATGGGTGATCATAGCAGGCTTATAACCTAAAGGTAATTCAAAATAAGAATGATCTGCTATGCAAAAGTAAAATAAAATTTAATCTCTCTAAACTTAGCAAAAGTATTTTTAAAGAAATATAAGAACACTGAGAGTAAACAAACTATACATAGATTAATTTAATTTCAGGCAATTTTGATGCTCCCACATGGGAAAAAACTTACATTACATAGCATGCTTATAATAGTAACTTTTTCAGAAATCAAGAATGGCTGAATCTGGATCAAACATGCAAGCTAATTTTTTTAAACTCAAGCAACATCTTAAAACTAAAATATACTAGAAAATATAACTAAAATATACTAGAAATCATACTGTTATTAAATATGTACATTAAATAAGTATGATTTTTTGAATCCTATTCTCCTTAAAACTTGCTCCATCCTATTTCTTTTCACATAAAATACACAGGTTATTTTTTTAACCATTTTACTCACATAACATGAATATTTTGATAATTCACATAATACTAATAATTTGCTTTAAAAGTTATTTATAAAAAGGACTTTTCCAGTCGAACATATAATTTTTGTATATTTTTATGAAATAACCTCTTTCATTTAGTCCAAGAATGCATCATTAGCTTAAAAAAGAGCTTTTCATATCTACCATAAGTGCACAAAATATGTTAATCAGAGTTCACATGTCAGATGACGATAACAAAACTGATAAATATGCAGCAAAGAACTTTTTAATCTCATTTCTTAGATGAATAATCAAGTAGTTTAAATACAGAGAATAAATTCTACTGAACTAAAGTAGCTGCTAAAGAACCATTAAAGAAGCAATTTATTGGAATTGCCTCTGATTTGGAATTTACTATACATTATATGAATAATAATGTTTCCTTTTCATAATTAGTTTTATTTATATTCTAATCTTGGTAGAAGAGCATAGACTTGTAATACTCAGTAGTACAAATTGTGAACAATAAAAATAAACTTTCTGTATCATATGATGCTATCTTTGTAGCAACTTCAAAACAAGGAAATGATGTTAATCCTAAGAATGCAGTGAGAATTTGACAATATCAAGTGAAAAAACAGAGGAGCATGCTACCAACAGTTTTTCTGGCAGTGAATATATTATGCTATTATCTCATGTTTTATAATCAGTTCCCATGAAAACTATTACTTGTGAAAAATGGCATTATAATGTAAAATCTGATAGTTGAATTAATAATTTTACATATTCTAAAAGATTTTGTTCCTTTTCACACTTTACAAAAATACAAACATTCTTGTATGTTAACTATTTAATAATAATCTAAATGCCAAAGAATCAAAAGGTACAGGTGTTTAAAATGAGGTGTTAAAATAAAATGTTCGGTAAAACAGATGTTTCACAGATGACCATGTGTTTTGTCACTTGAAACTGGAATGAATAGCTCACTGAGTTCCCTTTATTTTATTGTTGTTTCCCACAGGGTTGCTGTATTTCTGAGGATTTATATTCAGATGTATGACAGATTGAAAGAAAGGTATCTAATAACACACAGCCTAGTACAATTTCTAATGTTTCTCTGATATTAAGATTGCTCTATATACTAGGGTTTGTTCATGAGTTTGATTCTGTCCCATTCAGTTATTGAGTTCTGACATGTCTGTTAGGCTGGTATCCAGTCAGGTACATACACTATCCCCATCCATGAAGATACAAACATCAATACATCAAAACAATGGTTTGACATCTAGAAAACTATCAATAAGAATTGCTGAGTATAAAAAATACATTTATAAATGCTAATCCATACAGCAACAAAAACTTGTCTTTGGTTAAATAGTCCTTGTAGCATCAAAACTTTACAACTGAATAAGACAGACCCAAAATTATTACCAAATCCCAGCATAAAAGCAGCCTTAAAATCAGAGAAGCATTAAAAATTCCTACTACACTCAATAAAATGAACTTGATTGAATCAGTCATTTCAGTTCCAGTTAATAAATCACAGAGTTGACTGTGAAAGCTCATATTTTACTGTTGTAATGTGGTTTTAGTGCATCAATCTAAAATATTATATTGTATTGTATTTCAACTTAACCTGAAAAATAATTCTACAACTTAATTCTACTTATGCCTATCAAACCACTTTACCACATGAACAATTTCATCCAGAAGTTTCTTATCATCACAAAATTTAGGATCCTTTATAAAGAAATTAATATGCAAATTTGATAAACATTTTTGCTCCATAAGTAGTATCAACTCAAGTCACTATTTACACATACATTTCTAATATTAATATGAATGTAACAGAATGATTGCGATTAACTGTTTTTTTATTTCTAACCAGGAAGTCTAGAATATCCTTACACCAAAAAGTATGTTGAAAATAGACTTTATATGGAGTTCTTTAATTCGTAACATTTTAAGCTTAGGTTCTAATCCCAATTTTCTTCACAGTTTCTCATATACTTAAAAATTTATGCATACTGGAAATCTTCTAAATGTATCCAAAAGCATTTAATTTGGTTTGTACCCTGTCATTATATTTTACAACATGATTATACCTAAACAAATGTGGGGATATATTATTTCAGACTCAGAACTTTATTATTAACTATCAGACAGCTTGTATATCATCATCTTTTCAAAGTTTTATTCGAAAGGTACAGAAAATATTTCAAAGGTCCAGAGTCTGTAATCTTTTATAGCATCAGAAAACATTCATTTTTCAGATTTTATTTCTTCCTAAAACATAATCAATGCTATTAAATAGTTATTAGAACTATTATTTACAAAAATAGTAAATTTGATGCAGTACCCAATGAATTTGATTAGTTAACTGAAGCAAAACGAAATGACAGCGTCACGTGCAAAGCAAGGAAAATTAACGTTTATATTTTAAAAAGAATGCGTCAAAGTTTTTCTTTTTTTCCTTGCTGAATGTCTTACCTTTATAATTTCAGATACATTTGCAAAATATTTGGTTTTAAAAATTATTCATAAGTTAAAGAAGTCAAAACTGCTAAAATTTTTGCGACTCCCTGCTGTAGGTCCCGCGACCCCACTTTAAGAACTCTGCCTTAGAAGCTTCTCATCCTTCTTCTAATTACTCTCAAGAAATTTCCACCAAATCAAGAATGAGCTCTAACCCTTTTTTGATTGACGGATATTGAATGCATAATTCTCAACAGTTATTTGATTTTACTTTTTTATTATTAGAAAGGTATTAACAATAACCATTCATTTGAAATTTGTGCTTGATATATTCCATAAAGCTTTCATATCAGCAAAGGCGCACACTAGAACTACATTAAAGATGCCAAATGATTCTTCTGTTTAACTTCCCATTTTTATTCCGAAAAAAAAAAAAAAAAAAAAAAAAAGTATTCCCAACACTAAAATTTAAACATAAATTTTTAAAGCATATATTTACAAGGTAATACGAGTTTCACAACATGCAAGTTAGAAAAAATTGTACTACTGAATCATTCACATTTACACACAGTAGCAATAAAAAGTCAATAGATGGTATGATTTTAAAATACAGTCAAAAGTCTTTAATCTGGACTCATCAGGACTTCGGCGATTCCGGATTATAATCATCATTTAAATTTGGTAGATGGCATGCGAAATTATAAATTTAAAAAAAAAACCATAATTTAAAATAAAGCAATTAGATCTAAAGAGTATCAAAATTTACAAAAAAAAAAAAAAAAAAAAAAAAAAAGAGCTTAATATTTGTTACTTTACTAAACATTTCTTTCACGCGTGCATGTGTAAAAGCTACGTTTATGCATAGTCGAAATTGAAATTGCACCAGAAAACTATTTGATTTACGTGATATTTATAATGACGAGGAATTTAAATCATATGAAGACGGAGTACTCGATGAAATACTACTTTAGTAAGGAATATAGCCAAATAAAATAAAAACTCCCTGAAGATAAGGATAGTGCTGACAATCAACTTCCATTGATTGCACGTCGCACATCCCCCCCCCTCGCAGAGCATGTGAAATTGATGAACGATTTCGGAATGGTTAAGAAACAAAGGATATGCTTATCCTTTTTGCAGCAATTCACGTTTTTTTGAGTATATTGACATAGCTTCGCTTTGTAGATCGTTGGCAGCTCCAAATCGGACATTCTTTTGACACAATTGAAAGTTCAAGCTTACTTTTATAAATTGTTTTAATATCTGCAAAATAATAAACCGGATCCATTAGAAGATTAAGAACAACCATCTGCAACATTAACTGAAATAGATATTAGGTATTTTAGCTTAGCTTATACCATCCTTATACATAAACATGCATGCTAATGTATTATGCGCAGCATGCGCATGCGCATGTTTATGCACATGCACAGGAAGTTTGCAGCTTTGAGGTCCGGATTGTAGATCATTCCGGTTTATGAACGTCCGGATTAAAGACTTTTGACTGTATATGGCATTCTTCTACACGTACTTTCAAGAAGCTGAATAGTGATGCTGCATATCGATATTCATTGTTATCAGTTTTAGAATGGAATTTTATTCTATATATATCTGTAACAAATAGACATGTTATAACACAGAGAAATGTTTTGTGAGTAACTTTTCTGAAACTTCTAAGTTAGTAAAAGCATCTTGGTACAAAATAAAATATTTAGTTTACGATTATAAGAATCTTGTGTATTACTTCTCTTGTGGAGTTACAACAAGTATAATAATGCTTTTCCAAAGCATTAACAAAGTCATAGAACATAAACTAACTTGTTAGAGTATTTTAATTACAGAAAGAATTAAAAAATTATTTGAAGATTTTACTCTCTTGTTGGTAGTGAACTACAAGAAATGATTACACTTTTTGAAATAAGTAGATTCTGAGAATTTATAGAACGGTTTCATGGGTATAACTGTTCTGTTAGCTGCATCAGATTCTCTTGAAATACAGAAAATATTTAACTGAAATCAATATTGAGGAAAAACTGAATCATACCTAAGAGTGAACTATGTTTTAATTTAAAAAATGACTAAAAATTCTGAAATATATTTTAGACTTAAAGAAATAACTTACCTAACCATTGAACCATCTGGATTATTTCATTGAAAAATTTTTCTTCTTCCTTTTCAGGATTTGTATCATCAAATCGCAAAATGCAAATTCCATTGTGAGCTTGAGCAAAACCAAAATTTATATTTATTGCCTTCGCATGACCTATGTGTAATATACCATTAGGTTCAGGCGGAAATCTTGTGCGAACCTAAATCCGTCCAAGAAATAAAGAAAAATGCATCAGATTCAACAAAGTATTACCTAAAAGTATCCAGTATTTGAGTAATAAAAATACTCTAAATATTTATGAATTAAGAAATAGATTTTTTGTACATCTGATTATTACATGGCTTTGATTTTTCCATGTAGAAAATTCAAACTTGAATGTGATGTGAGGAGCTGTACTGAATGCAAAACAAAAGTCAGCTTTACATTTTTATTAACTGGCACAGACCATTCAAACTCCATATGTTGTTGCAATGGCACTTCATCACATAAAAGTACTGCTTAACATGGTCTTGATAGAAGCGATAAATTTATATCATCACTGAACCTGACTCTTGTATCTTCATTTTAATATCTTGTTAGATTGTTCACTGACTATCAGGATGCTTGATAGCAAATGAAAAGAATATGTAACCTGAAAGAATGTCCCCATACAGTATATCTACACTTCTACTGCTTCAAATGCATAAGTAAACTTTGTAAAGCTGTCTCCAATATGAAATGAGACTTGGAGATATGAAATGAGATCCATGATGTCCTGAACCTACTTAAGATTATTGTCCCAAAATGATCAGAATTTTGATTTATTTGCAGAGTTGTTCTACCATCCATCTAATTTTGAAGTTTCAGTGACCTTTCCAACCATTCAGTGATGAGGAGGTTAAAATTTTTATCTAACAAATCTACTGTTGGTTTTCAATGAAATCTGTAGTAATTCCTTGCAATGTAACCTATTTGCTGGCTGGCACTATTTAAAGCAACCAATGTAATATCTATCAATCAACAAGGCACACTTCGTGCATTTCGCCTGGTCAGAATATTTATAAAGAGGTTGCTAGATTTAAGGTAGTTGAATGTTTGCCGTGGAGGAGCGACTTGCTTGCTTTTTGTACGTTATAGGAGTGATGTTCTGCACCAAGTTAAATTATATGATTTAATGAGATTTTTATAAATATTCTGTTTTGTATTCTCAAATTGTGCTTTTTAACCATTAAGCCATTACAGCAATAAGGAATTTGATCATATCTCTTGAAATTTGATCATTAAGTGCTGGACAGGTTGTGTACCTTCAGGTTCTCAAAGTTCTTTTGTACAGTCTAGAAAATTACTGACAGCTCCACAGACATCTACCGTCTTCAACAGAACACAGCAGCATTCATTTATCGCATCAGAACAATCTACCTCAAAAATAGACCAGGTTTTTTTCTTTTTAATCTTACAGTATAAAATTACATAGATGGTGGAAACGTCATCAATATTATATCCATGAACATTTTGATACCATATACCTGGGAAGCATCCAGCATATTCTTTGACACTATATGACCCACACCTTTGACACTGATTATGATGTACAGTTAACAACATTAGATAATGTATGATAAGCAGCTTTATTGAATAAGCAACTATTTAGAAATAAATAAGGATACTATACTTCTAAGAAGCCATCTTTCATTTTTATTTAATACTATAGTTAGTGTAAATTAATCAAGCATTTCAAAAATATCTTTTGTAAATCACTTCTTCTAGTAACCCTAGCAATGCCAAGGTGCAGCCAAAAATGATATCCCATAATCCTTTTGTTCCATTCTTCACTTTCTATTATTACTCTCTCTTTTGTGCTTGTATCAATCACCATCTATGTAAGCATCTATGCATCCATTGCTGTATCTATGCATCTTTAATGCATCAATCCTTTGCTTCTTATTATTTTAGTTAAAATTCAATAAATGTGATTTGTATATAAATATGCATTTCTGTTGTTAATGGATACACATTAAAACATCCCTCACAACAAGTTTCATTTCGGAGATTTAACCGGTACAGCTGGACACATGAATAAAATGTAAGCAAGTTTGCTATCGTTATCTTCAATAGTACATAGTTATATATCAATAGTACATAGTTAATGTATAATACATAATTATATGTACTACAGTGCACTATCTCTGCCTAAACCTTTACTCTCATGACACTAGATCGTTTTTCACATGTATGTAAATACAAAATTTCAAAAATAAGACATCAGAAAAACATATCATTGTGACTATTAAACAATGCCATATTGCAAAAGAAAGAAAAAGCTTGCGAGACAACAAGTAGTTTGAAATTTTAATTACAGTGCAGCGAATACTTTTTTTTTTCTGTTCCTATCAACTGTTATAATGTACTGATAATAGATGCTCCACATTTTCAGTATATTAAATCATAGATGTGCATACCTGTGGTGTGATATGATATATTTTAGTAAGGCTCCAGTCAAGCTGAGTACAAGAAGATGGTCACACCATATTAAATATGTTTATGTGGTTTTAAAATATGACAGTAACATGTGTTATGCATGCAACAAAGTGTGTGATATGTCACATGTCACATAAATGTCTTGTCTATATGTTGGCTACATTTATGTTCTACAATGTAAAGCGTTAGCAAAAAGTCTGCTTTGTTGAAGTAAGAGTCCATTCATTTCATACAGAACTTGCAGTCACTATTTTCATGAAAAACAATGATTCCCCCTCCAAAGGGGGGGAAGCACTTTTATACAAAGATAATTTTGTTCCCATGTTAACCGATGTCTATACATCTGTATATAGAAATGAGGCTATAACCTATACGAACCTTATGTAAGCTTTGTTTTCTACAATCTTGTGTAGATTGTGAATGGCGATGAAGAAAAAACCATTACAATAATAATGTAAATGATTAATGCCTTAAAAAAATAAATAATTTTCTTTATAGTAGTGAAAATTTATTCTTAAACATAAAAATAATGTTTTGTGATGTAGCAACCACTACATTCTTTTGGTGACCCAGAATTGGCAGCGGTATGTATATTATGGAAAATACCGAGAAGGCATAAAACCAGTCAGATGGTGCTTGGATTAATCAGATGGGTTTTATATTTTTCAGAAATTATGAAGGTCAGTGTAAAAATTTGGAGAGATAAGTCAGATACTTGGTTTCATTAGATAGAAGTACAATTTAAAATTAATGCTATAACAAAGATATCAAGTTTAACTATGTTGCCTTGCATATGAAACCTAAAAATATAGACACTATTTGGGACATAATAACTGATAAGGCTGAAAATAAATATTCATTGGCAAAAGAACAAATATATTCAAAGAAAGTGAAAACAAATTAATCAAATGCCTTTTCATTGGCAATGAAATTGGTGACATGAAACCAAGCAATCTATTACAAAAAATGAAATCCTTGGCAGCCAATGATATTTCTGACATGGTATAAAAACATTATGGATTCAAAAAATGCCGCACCATATTAAACATATTTTGGTGGTTAGTTATGAAGGTACCGATAAATTGGCAATTATGGTTGATAAGATGAAGTATATAACGCTTATTTAAACTGAACTTAAGAATTCGACAGCATCACCAAATACTGGAGAAGACACTTTTGATGGAACAATGTACTAAAGAGCCTCCACTCCATCACCATCCACATAAAAGAAGTTGTAGTATAGAAAGTAGTCACAGGTCCTTGTCTAGAGCAGAAGCAGAAGCCGTTAAAACCCAGATAATAATCTGTGTTATTAGTACTTTACATTTGGATCACCATGCTTTCTGAAAAAAATGTAAGCCACCATGTATTTGGAAAAACCAGGAAAACTTGCCTGCACAGAAAAATCAGAATTAGCGGAAAGTTCTGCTGCTGAAAATTTAAAAAAGTGCCATGGATTCAATAATAGACTTTTTATAATTGACAGAAAATGGGAATAAAATTTTTGGTTAACACTAAACTCAGCATACTAGTGAAATTACATTACATGCCGACAAATCAAATGTAAGCATCTTAAACACACACACAAAAAAATAATAATAAATTTTCTAATATTTTGGCAAAATTTCTTGAAATAAAATTTAATTTACTAATTTCTAAAGCAAAATACAATGCTGAATATTATATAACTACTAATTGCAAACCAGTTTGTTCAAAAGCAAATGCGTTAGATCCCAAAAGATTAGAAATAGCAAAATAAGAATTCAACTTTAGGCTTGAAAACATTATTATTAAGACCTTCAAAATCACCATGGGCAAGCCCACTTCATTTAGCCACAAAAACAGATGACGTTCTGAGCCAATGCAGAGATTATCACCACTTAAATGATACCACAATACATCGCTAACATTTACTCAGAATTGAAGACTTCCGTCATATTATAAAAGGCAAGAAGATATTTTCAAACTTGATTTACTTAAAACCTATTACCAAATCCCAATAGCAGAAGAGGACAAACAAACAAAACAGCGATAACAAAACCCTTTCGACCTTTTAAATCTAGCATAATGAATTTTAGCTTAAGAAATGTTTCCTCCCCTTCTAAAAAATTCATGAGTACAGTTTTTAGTCAACTAGATTTTACTTTTCTGTATTTTGATGACATTTTAATAACATTCGAAACATCTTAACATCGGAACATCTTACAGATGTATTTAAAAGAGTTCAATAGTATGGTTTACATATCAACAAACTAAAATCAGTAATGCAAGTAAAAAAATTGGAATTTTAGGGAAATTTTATAACACTAAATGGCTCAAAACTTCTTTCAGTAAAAGTACAAGCCGTAACAAATTATAAACTTCCTGAACTATTCACATGCTTCGTAAATATTTAAGAATGATTAACTTTTATAGAAGATACTTAAAAGATACACTTAATACCCAAGCTCCCTTAAATGAATATTTAAATGGTTCAACAAAAGAAGATTGAAGGAAATTTCCATGAGACAGAAGAAACAAAGAAGTCCTTTGAAAAATGCAAAGAAGATTTAGATTAGAATTTAGATTTTACTGCTTTATTAACCTTTCCTAATCCAGATCTAACATTAGATTCATGTACAGATACCTCTATTTAACAAATGGATCTGTTGAAACCAATAGTATTCTACTCCACAGACCCAAAAAATTACACTAAAAGAGCTTACAGCACATATGACTCGGAACTTTTAAGTAATCTTTCCAATGAACAATTTAAACATATGCTAGAAGGATGAAAATTTACAATATCCACAGATCATAAGCTGTATCTGCTCACGAAAAATGACATTTAAACAGAAAAATGATAAGGTATCACCAAGACAATTAAGACATCTCCAGTATATTTCTCAATTTTCAACAACAATACATAACTAGCAAAGATAATATCGTTGCCGACTCGATGTCTAGAATTTAATAAGTTTTGAACATCAATTATGACAAAACTGCAGATGAACAAATCAATAATGAACTCAAAGAATTACTAAATAGTAGAAAAAATTAAAATCTTAAACAATATCTACTACCCTCAAGAAAAATAATCTGGTGCGATTTTTCAACTCCAGATATTTGAACGTTCATACCACGAATATTTCAAATACATGTTTTCCCACAAAATATATAATTGGAACCATTCTGGCATCAAATCATCAGTGAAACAAGTAATATTAAGGTTCATTTGGAAGAATATTAAAAAAGATGTTACAGAATGAGCTAAAACTTGCATTAGTTGCCAGAAAAATAAAATTATTCAGCACACACATTCCAAATTCAACTCATTTGAAGAACTTGATAAAAGATCCATATCGATATCACTGGATCATACCTACCATCAAATAGGTATAAATATTGTTCAACATGCATTGATCGCTTTACTTGATGGAAATTATACAAATAGAAAATATTACCATAGAAACAATAAAAAAAATTTTATGCAAACCAGATTTGTCACTTCGGTATTCTATATAGCATGATCAGAGATAGAGGAAATGAGTTCAAATCAGAACTTTCAAGAAGTTAAGTTATTATTTGTGGAATTCAAATGCAAACAACAATTTCATACCATCCACGAAGCAAAAGAAAAATTGAAAGACAACATAGAACATTAAAAGCAGCTGCTAGAGCTCACAATTCAGTCAAATGGAGTAAAACTTTACCAACTATACTACTTGGTACATATGCATTTCTACTTGATGATACCTAATGCTCCACTGCAGAAATGGTTTACGATAAACCACTGAAGTACTAGGAGAATTCTTTCAATAACTAAAACCCAAATTAGAAACAGATATCTTCACTACAGAACTGCAAAATGTAAAAACAAAAACAAAACGAAAAAATAAATAAATAAATAATAAATAAATAAAATAAAAAATAAAAAATTAAAACCAAATTAAAAGCCAATGTAAAAGAAATTATTTTTCCATAAAGATTTAGATTCAGTTTCACATGTATTTGTCGGCATAGGCTATAACAAGAAAACATTAGAATCCTCTTATTAATGACCTTTTCTTGTGATTGCCAGAAGTATAAAGTCATTATGCACTGAGAATTAAATGAAAGAACATCAGCATTTCTGTCAATTGATTAAAACAAGCATATTCTTTAGCCTCATGTCAAGATGATTCTTGAAACCTAACAAATAAAGAAAAACAAAACATCCCATTAAACAGAAAATGGAAAGACAGATGATTCAAATTTTAAAACAGCATGTAGTAGAAGAAGAATTACTTTTAGAGCATGCTATAAAGATTACATGAACATCTAATGTTGTAAATTAATTTTTCATTTAATGATTGTAAATGTTTTGTAAATAGCATTTATGCACCTTATTGCAATGCAAGTATTCAAGTGATATCAACAACTATTTTTCTCCTAGCATTTCAACTATATTATGCTTGGATAGAGAGAAATGTAAACTCTAGAAACAGCATATGATATTTGTTTTCTACAACTTTATGTAGACTGTGAAAGAAAAGGAAAGGGGAAAAAAAAAAAAAAAAAAAGATCAAAATAATATTGTTTTAAAAAGATCAATGCATTAAAATAGTAAAAAACTTTCTTTAATAGTAGCGGAAAGTTATTCTATAATGTTTTGTAATATAGCAACCATTATAAGGACACACTGAAAATCAATTTTTATGACATTTAATTTTAAAGTGATGACTTTCACATAGTGATAACATTATATAAACTTAACAATTTTCAAAATTAATGTAATAGCAAAGAAAATTAATAAATGGCACATTTTTTAATAAAACTCTTCTTCCAGATATTCTTATTGGAAGGCTTTTAGAAAATTCATGATATGCCTTTAATGAACAAAATATTCCCTTGCATTTACATGAAAACAATCTTTAAAACATTGCTATGTGAAAAGGAGACAATGAAATAAAATAAAACTTTTATGCCAAACTGTACTAGATTTTAAATTATGAATTGATATTAAAAATCATAAAGATTATGTTTCTTAAAGCACAATTTGTGCTAACGTGGATAAAGTAACATAAAGTAACAAAGAAAAAAAATGCTAAAGATTATCTCACTTGTCCTTTGGTTACTTCTAGATGTTCCTTCAGAAGACTCATTGTATTAGGAGTAATAACATATCCACCTGTTTTAAAATTTTCACCAGGTTTGTGAAAATTTAATTTCTTCATTATATCAGTTATTGAATGACCTGAAAAGAGAAAAATTAATAAAAAAGGGCCAATCATGAATATGAAATTAAAGTGATAATTCATTCTCTTAGTTTTTACGTGACAGAAAATTTGGGCTAATGGAAAACCCACAGAGTAATTTTATAATCTGTGTGCATAAATATATACTTAAACATCCTGAAATATCTTTTCATAATATATGCATATATCATGATTTATTCTAAAAAGGTGACATTTTTATATATATAATTACGTAAACTTTTAATTCAAATACACTCTGTTGCAAAAAATTATATGCACTTAGAAAGAACTGAGAGCCACAACTACGAAACTTGGCAGTAGTATAATGTTTGAGTAGATAAACAAATTATCAAAAACTGAAGTGAAAAACTGAAGTTTTATTCATAAGTAGCAATACAAAGAATGCGAAAATCAGTATGTAGTAAAGCCATCTCTGACAGCTACACAAGCTGATATTTGGTTCAGCATGGAGCCTATTAAGTTACCAATGTCCCTTTGCAGTAGAATGTGCCACAAATGGAACAACTGGTCAGTGAGTTAGGAAGTATTTGTACAGGGCTGAATTTGCCTGCCCAACATGGCCCAAACATGTTCAATAGGTGATAGGTCTGGAGACCAGGCAGGGTAGTCGAAGACATTGTTAGGAAAGTCATTGTATGTGACTGAGCATTTTCCTCCTGAAAAACAGAACCTAGACAACCTGCTAGTATGGGCAATATGACAGGTTGCAAAATGTTGTCTATGTTGAGCAGTCAGAGTATTATGCAGAAAGACTGATGGTGAACAGCTGTCCCAGCTAATCATTCCCCAGACTGTCAAACCCTGTATTCTGGCAACGTGCTGCTTGGTAACAAATGATACATTGGACTGCTAACCTTTCCATCTCTAGACGCGCATGCAGCGGTCATCAGTATTGAGAGAAAAGTGTGATTTGTCGCTGAAGATTATATTTCTCCAATTGGATGCTGCTCAGCTTGAGCGAGAGTATCACCATGCAAGACGACATTGCTTATGGTGGAGTGTCAATGGCAAGCGTCTTAATGAACATCTAGATTTGAGCCCAGTGTCACCTAGTCTTCTGTAAATGGTTGGTAAATGGCATTGAACTGATGATAGAGTAATTGCGGATGTGGACGTGGCAGCTGTTCAAACTGCATGATCATCTTGTGCATTGGTGGCCTGAGGACATCCCAACACACTTCAGTGGCTGACTGCCTTTGCTGAGCCGCTGGTTCTAACAAAGGACAACAACCATATCACTTCGAACAATATGCTGGCCGCTCTGACTCTTTAACCAACCCTCTTTTAGTTTTATGATGTGACCTTCAAAGTCTGACAACTGTTCCTAATGCAATTGAGTATGTCTTAAAGGAATCTTTTATTATAATGTCATATATCCAAGCTGCTTGTCACTCGCTTCACCTGCACTTTTACATTCTACCAGCTGTACACTTCAGATGCACTCTGGATGACTCCACAGAGCTGAGTGGTGCTGCAAGTCTAATTATTTACATAACTTGCCAAACTGGATTTGCATGCTGTGTTTTGTAGTTGTGACTCAATTTTTTCTGGATGCATATTTTTTTTTCAGCCTTATTTCAAATCTAGTACCATATTAAAAAATAATTAGTTTCCAAGATTCATATTTCACTAATATTGAAATAATTATTATAACTGATACTAATCCATCAATAAATATATCTAGTAGAAACATATTTTGAAATATGTGCTTCAAATAATACTGCAATCAAAATATTTTGAAATAATCAGTTACATCTCATTAAACTTTAAAAAGCACTTCAATTATTTAAAAGCTATCAATCCATGATGATTACTGATATTCTTTTATTCATCCAGTAGTTTATAATAATAATGAATATTACTTAGGAAATCTGAGATACTTCATATTTTTAAAAGTTCAGAGCCAAACTCAAAACAAAGGCTCAAACGGCGCATGAATTTCACATATGAAAAATTATCTCTGTGACAAAAGAATCAATTTTGTAGTTTTATATAATTACAGAACTTTTTTATAAAAATATCCTGTTCTGAAAATCTTTAAAAATGCATTTAATTATAAAGCACATACCAAAGAAAACACTTTTTTGATAGAAAATAAAGAGGCTAGGAAAACTGATTTAGAAATGTTATTTTTAGCACATATGAATATAGATTCAAACTTCTATCAGTGGCCTAAGTTAACTGATGATTGTATACAGATGGAAATGAGGCCATACTAAAAATCTATTTGAATTTCCCTTTGGTGGATACTCCCATTTAATCGGCAGTTCCCAAATACCTCAACCCTCAAAACAACAGACCAGTGAACTCCCATTTAGTAAACACTCTAGATTCTTGATCTCAAGAGAGACTGCTAACAGAAGGATTGACAATATCTGTATAGCTCCCACTTTTTAATTATCTCAGGTAAAAGACTGAATTGAGAAGTAAAGAAAGCAAGTACCATTCAGTTTTAAAAGTATAGTGAAATACTTTAAAAGAAATTTGATTTTTTCACATTGCATGCTTTACGAATTGTTTTTTCACTTTCCTGTTGGCAGGCTAGGCTTCAACATTTTTGGTACCTTAGGCAATCAGTAGTATTGCTCTGCATAGATTAAAACATATTAATTCATATTAATAATAATGGAGAAATTTCTATATTTAGTTGTTGCTTATAAAAAAATGTTACCTGGTGACTCTGCAAATCGTTACTTTAGGCGACTACCTATACCTGGAGTTGACCCTGGTTGCTGACATAACTGAGGCATTTATTATATCAAAGTAAAATGTTTTTAAATATTTAATAATAATAAGGTCTTCTAAATAATAAGGTCTTCTTAATAATAAGGCATACTTGCCAACGTATGACACTCAAAAATCAGGAGACTTTTTTAAGAAATCAGGAGATTTTTCACAATGTTAAAAGGACTTTTTAAATGATAAAAATATAGTTTTTAATAATGAATTAACTTTAAATAGTTACTAAGTCTTAAATGCAAGCAACACAAAAATACCTTACACATAAAAAACACTTTTATTACTTGCATCATTTTTTTTTTTTAAAGACACTTTAATCAGTTTTCGTACAAATGTTATGAACACTGGCAGATTTTGCTTTTGTTAAGAAAGAAACTTCATAATTTTGTTCATAGCAATTGCCACGTAGGCCTGCTTTCGCTAATAAAGGTTTTCTAATGTGTCATCATTAATATTAGATCTAAATTTAGTCCTCGTTTTCGCAACAACACTAAAAATCCTCTCGCACTCCGCATTACTATAGGGAACTGTCAAGATGGCCAACTTAATTCTAGACAGTTCACTATACTTTAAAATTCCATCAGCACCTTTCAGTTTTCCAATTAAACTCCACTGGGTGTCAATCCTAGATGATTTTATAACTTCATCCAAGTTTTCTAATTGTAAACTGCAAAATTGCGACTGCAGTATATCAGTGGCAACATCAATATAATCATCTTTCATGACTAAATGAAGTAACACAGGAAATGTGTTCAAAAAGTACATTATATCAGAAAAAGATGCATTTGCTAGAGCAGAAACATCAGCAACTTTAGCATGCAAAATCACTTCATCGTTGACTCTGGATTAAAAAAAGCAACAATTGGATACAGTTTTGAATCGGTATTATTGCTTCCATCCGTAGAGAGGCAGAATAGAGCTGTTTTAATGCAATCAATAACTGAAGATTTATTTTTCAAACCCATTTATTTAATAATTGCACCTGTTTTGGTCCTTGCACTTGAGTATTTCTAAGCGATTTCACTATCGGGAAACATTTTTCTAAATAAAGCTGCAGCGTGATCCGATGCATTCAGTGGCAGGTTGTGCTCCAGTAAAAAGGCAGAGAACAGACATTCTGCATTAATCACTTTTTGGTCCTTTGTTTCAGAAGAAAAATTTAATTTTTTGTTTTTTTCAAAACAACTTATGTTGTCCTTGTCTTTTTGTTTACACACGTTTCAGAACATCCGCGTTTCCACCATGCGAAATCGAAAAATCGCAAATTTATTATATTTCCTTGAGGAAATAATGGAAGGAAAGTCAACTGTGTACGATTTTTGAAACATACACAAGTATTTCACCTTTCTCGCAGACATAACAAAAGATGATAATTTATAACACTATTTCCCGAAGGCAAGTGTACTCACACAACTCAGGACAAGATGAAAGAAATAACGAAAAAACATCCAAATAACAGCCTTGAGTTTGCTTTGTGCTCATTGGCTAATATATGCCAGATGACACGCAGTGGAGCTCGATGCCCATTGGAGAACTGGAGAACGACGTTTCTGGATACGTATGCTCTCACTCACAAAGCAGAAATTCTCATCTGATTCACAAGCTTTTGTTTTAGATATAATCTAGAGAAAATTCAATTGCTTTCAGACGTCCAAAATCACTTTTTTTGTTTTGTTCATATAATGAAGTATTAAGCTATGTTCCATAAAAATCGTGAGAAATATTAAGAATAAGAAAAAGTCGGGAGAAATATATTGTAAATCGGGTTGGTGGGAGAGCGGTTGAAAATCGGGAGTCTCCCGCCTAAATCGGGAGAGTTGGCAACTCTGATAAGGTCTTCTTAAGCTTGATATGAAAGACCTCAAGTTGATATAAATTTTTGTACTTTAAGAAGGATGACATTTATCTCACTACCAATCCAACTACTCACTATTATCTTTAGATGAGTGAATTCTATTTTTATACTAAAAATAATTTTAACTCTGTATAATTAAAAATAAATAAATAAAAAAATTATGTAAATGCACAGAAAAGTTAAACATCTGCATACCTTTCTGGTCAGTTTCTTTCTCAGCTGCAGAAGAAATAGTTTCTTTTTTCTCTTTTGTCTGTAGTTCATGAAAAAAATGAATTAATGAAAGATGCAGATAAAATCCTATATATATATTAATAAATAATCAAATGTAAGTAAGGACAATTAAGAATCCTGTGCTTTAGGCTGCAGTGATTTAATTAAACTTAATTATAATTAATGGAGAATACTCCTATTAAATTTTCACATGTTTTACTCATCTCATTCATTGGATACTTACGTTTTGTTCTAAAAGTATTTTGGCACTTAAATAAAACTTTTCATTCCAAATAAATTAATAATCGTAGTTTCATTTACATCACGTGGGGGAATTCTTGATATGCATATGAGTATGCTAAATTTGGGGAATTAAGTATTTACATTTAATTTCATTTTTACTTTCAATTTGCATATGCATAGCAAAGACGAAACACTATGTCTGAATGATTGGGAGGAGAATGAAATAAGCTAATTCCCTCCTGAAGAATCACTATTATTTCGGTTTCCTTTCAGTTGTTCATTTTTAAGTAATTTTATTTATATGGCTTTAATTACCAATAAAATTTTTTCTCACAATTTTATGCATATCCACTATTATTGGCCATTGCTGATAAAGCAATTTTTCCATGCCAATTTAACTTTAATACTTCAAAAAAATTTTCTTACACATTTTAAAGTTAAACAATTTTTAATATTACTTAAAATTTACAAATTGGAATGTATTTAGACTTCAAATTGTAATTTTTTTTACTTTATTAGCTTTCTTGATTTAATTTGAATTATAAGAATTATAGAATATAGAAGAATTATAGAAATTAAGAATAAAAGTATTTCCCTTAATTATTAATTTTATACAGAGAGAGACACATAGACAAATATAGATATATATTTATTTTCATATGTTTGTTTGATTTGCAACTTGATAAATTTATGCTGTTGATAAACTAATATGTACAATTTCAATAAATTAACACACCATAAAACTGTAAAGAATACATTTATTAAAAATACATCACTGTTTCAAACTATATATTCAAAATATATCACAGTTTCAAACTAAAATTGCAGTAATACTAATTTCATTCGCATTAGACACTGAAAGCATCAGTTTAATATAACTAATATTTAAAGGGCAAGGATATGTCAAAAAAATTCACACATTTTAAATGTCAATGAAATATTTTGCAATTCAAATATTCTGCCATTATGAAAAACTACACACAATCAACATATAAAATTTTAAATTACTAGAAGAACAGCAGATTCAGCAACATTAATTCTTTACAGATCATTTTATTATTTATATTACAAGGCTGTCCTGATCTGTATAGCAGTTAATCGTTGGGCATGATTTCAAATTCCACAGTAGGCTTGGATGTTTAAAAGTGTGAACATTATGTGTTATGGAGATACTTAATACTGGCAACCAAAAAGTCTTCTCAAGAGGTTTGGTGGTAAGGAAAGAAGAGTGAAAGATCCTCAGATCTGACCTCTTTATCAAAATTAGGATAGAGCTCCCTTTTTCTTACAGATGTAATCGAGTCATCCCCCTCCCATTGTGGCATAACCCTGGAAAACATTCTCTCTGATGAAACAGTTAAATAACTGATGGTTTGGTCATTCCCAATGAGTTCATTAAGCTGCAAGTGTATGGCCATTTGAACAACATTATTTCATTATTTTTACAATAAAACTTTCTGTCAATACTGGAGTAATTCTAATTCATATAAACAATGTTGCACTTTTTCAGCTTTTGATGAACAAAAATTTGAAAAAATAACATTGCTTAAATTTTGATATATGTTATTTCTATTCCTTTTAATCTGGCACTTTCTGCCAGATAATAAAATTTTACTTTCATTAATACATATAAAAGATTAAAAATTCTTACACAGCAGGTTGAGAGTTTGATATTGAGAATGACTAGTTTATTAATTTATGCATGTAAATTTACAACATTTACCTTGGCTTTAGTTGGTTTAATATTATCTTCTGCAGTTTTAGGGCCCAGAATATCTAAAATTTGAAGCTCAACTTCATTCTTTATATATTTTCCATCAGCAAATGGAAGTTCTTTACGTGCTTCCGCTATAATACAAAATTGCGAAAAATAAGAACAATTTTTACTTAACAGTAAAATTTAATGATAAATTAAAGAAAGAGATACATCATTAAAAATCTATATTGTGTAACTATATGAAAATCACAATACTCAGAAAGAAAGCGCATTAAAACAAATGTACTCTTTCGTTTGTGGGGCAGTAGCCAAAATATAGACAAGTGCACTAATAATACCACAGCAATTGTACCAAACAATGTAACTTATTATTATTATTATTTTTTTAATTCAGATATACTTTTCTTGTGAGATTTTGAATGCTTTCTGATTTTCTCAGAAAGGAACTGAGTTGAATTTTACAATCTGCCATTTGCTAAATGATAAAGAGTCTGCAATTAAATTCTTTCAGTTAAAGAAATTACGCACAAACTTAGTTCAAATAACACTAAAATGAAGTTACGTTTTAGTGTTAAATACCATTAGCACAGCCAACCATGATGAAACCATTAGTACAGCCTACCATGAAATTAGCACAGCCAACCTTGATGCCAAGTTAAGAACATACTGCAAACCCAAATTTTAATTACTAGATTAACTATACTTTTCATTACATTATTATGGTTGTAATAAAATAGTTTTATTAAATTCTGTTAACAATTTTCTTAAATATTATGTAATCATAGTTTCAAATGGCAATGCATCATTAGGGGTTGGCATTATTATTTCAAGTCACATTTTGTGCAAACATTTACATTCTCTCTTTACAAAAGCATATCTAAGTAAATAAAAATATACAGTTAAAAAAAATAAAGATGCTCTATTTTTTGGCAAATACTATTTTAATAGCAAAAATTGAAATAATATCATGATTTTAAATATCTTTCCCATTGTGCAATTTAATGATACCAAAATAATTTAAATTTTAATCATAAGTTTGAAAATCATTTACTTTCTTTGCTACAAAAGATTTTTACACTGAAAAAGTATTTAAAACTAAACTTAGAAACATCAAATAAAATTTAAAAAGTAAAAACTTTTTCTGAAGAAGAGACACTTTTGTTTAATCACCTAAAAATTTATTCAAAACTAAGGTTGCTATTTTGTTTTATTTTACATTTTACATTATTATTATATGTTTCTCTTCTAGTGTGAAGTATTTATTTAATATATATCTTACCCATTAACAATCCTGTATTAAATGAGTATCGTTTTTCTACCAATTCTGCCTTGTGAGAAGCAATGACTTTTTCAACTACTTTTTCAATTTCTTCAGGAGACACAGTAACTCCAACTCCACAATTTTTTTCAAATTCTTCGATGTTTATGTTTTCATCTGCATGATTCATTAAGTATGTTATTGCAGCTGTATGGGCAGAAAAATAATTTTTATTAAAGAAAACATATGCACTGATTAAAATATTAATTCACACCGTAAACATATAGATTCATTTCGACATACAATAGGAGATACTTACAAGAACTTCTGAGTGTGAAATAAAAATTATTTGAAAAAGCAAAGAACACTTTGTTTTAATAACTATTAAGGTTTTAATTCACATTAAACATTCAAGTTTTTTTTTTTTTTTTTTTTTTTTTTTTTTTTTTAATTTATTACATACTCCATCACATGGAAAAGAAGGAATGCCTCATGGAGGATTTTTTAAAGAAAACTGGTTCATATTTACATTACACATGGGGAAAATGATAAAAATGCCCATGCAGCTAGCCTGTTTGCCAGGACTTGAACCCTGAACCAAATTACTGGTGTTCAGCAGCTTTTTTACCACTTGGCCACTGGTGGGCTATAAATTCTTCAAAATTTACATGAAAAGTAATTTTCTTAATTTAATGTAAATCTGCAATTTAATTACTGATACTATATTTGAATATTTAAGTACTTAAAGTCATAATACAATTCAAGCAATCACTGAAAACTAAATTTATGTACAGCATTAATTTTAAACATGTTTTCTACATGTAACACGATCCTTAAACCATATTTTAAAAACGAATCTACATAAATTAGGAAGGGTCATCTCACCTACTCTTTTCTTTTGCCTTACACATGTTTTTTGATATTATGTTTATTTTTGACACACAGCTGTCTTAACAATGCTACTGTCAAGCATCTACATTTCATTGAAACATTGTAATAATAGAATTACAGTCAAAAGTCGTTAATTCGGACACCCATAATCCGGAATGATCTATAATCCGGACCCCAAAGCTACAAACTTTCTGCGCATGCGTCGCGTTCACGCATGCGCCAGGCGTTAAGAGTGCGCGTAAGACCTTTACGGTGCGAATATGTTTGTGCGCATGCGCGTTAATGTAATGGAGGTATAAAGCTAAGCTAAAATTATCTAATTCAGTTAAGTTGAAGATTGCGTTGTCCTTAATCTTCGAATTGGATCCGCTTATTATTTTTGCAGACTGTAGAGCAATTCATAAAAAGTAAGCTTGAACTTTCGATTATGTCAAATAGAATTTCCGATATATATTACTAAATGTATTTGTATCTACAAAGCGAGAGTATGTTTTGAATCCGAAATCTGTTTATCAATTCACGCCGCGGATTGGAAGTTGATCTGTCAGCACTATCCTTATCTTCAGGGCAGATGTTTTTATTTATTTGGCTATATCCTTACTAAGTGTAGTATTGGCGTCTTGATATGATTTAAATCAAGTTCCTCGTCATTATATTCGCTTCCGATAAGGAAGAAAGTGACCAGAGGTTATTGAAAACGAAAACATTTCGATTGACAAATTAGTGGTATTCTCAACACAGCAAAATAGGACTGCAAGCGGAACTTTGTAACTAAACAAGAAATTGGTCTGTTTAATAGAATTAAAGAGAAAGTATTATCACATGAAACGAAGCAACTACTTGAAAGAAATGTTAATAAAGTAAACAAATAAATATTAAGCTTTTTCTTTTTGTAATTTTGATACCCTTTAGATCATAATTGTTCTTTATTTCATAAATTACAGTTTCATATTTTTAATTTTGTAATTTCTGCATGCCATCCTACCAGATTTAAACTGATGATCTATAATCCGGAATCGCCGAAGTCCCGACGAGTCCGGATTAAGGACTTTTGACTGTATCTTATTTACACAATAAACTGATGTAATTAAATATGTTTATCAGACTTGCAAATGCTTGAATCTTCATTTAATTCTGTAGTTCATACAACATTTACAAAACTGTTACTTTAACCCTCTGAGTGACACAAGTTTTAGATCTGCTCATGAAGACCTATATCAAAATTGCATTTAAAACCACAAATTTGTAAAATTACTTATTTTAGTACCTGTTTTCATAAACTTTCATTCATTAAGACAATATTTATATCATTAAAGAAAGAAAGCAAAACATTTTAAATTATAAACTAATATATAACCAAAGAGAGACAGAACTTAATGACCTGATAAAGGTGGTCATGCTGTTCAAGGAGGATAAAAAAAAACATATATTTATAACTGTGTACCACTTATAACATGGAATGTCAGTTTCAGAGCATTTTGAGAGCTGATTATATTTGGAATTTTTTATTTTTATTGAAGAATAATATACTGAATAAATATGTTAATACCCATGAATATAATTATCAAGATCATAACAGATGCATGCAGAAAAATATAAATGCAAATGTAATACACATATTTTACACTTACACTACAATTTTAGTTTTATAATACTCATGAAACATATTTCATATCAATATAGTTTACTTGGCAAAAACAATTTGTGACTTCTAAAAATGTTTTCTAGGAAAATTCAAGACACTTATATGTCTAAAGTATATTAGTAATAAATAAGGATGAAATTACAAATAATAATTGTTTACTCATTAATTAAGTAAATAAATAATATTGCCAAACACATATATTTGGGCTTTGATGATATTCTTCAGTATCACCTGTTTCTGACGATATTTTTTACTTTTGAAACATTAATACATTTCAAGCTTTTACACTTAATTTTAAGTTTAGATTTAAAAAAGCATGATTTTAGATTACATTCTGAATTAATTTTCAATTCTACCTCACTGTTTTGTTTAAAAATATGTTACTTCAAAATACCTTAGATACAATATTTAGTGTTCTACTAATACTACTAATACCAGCTACTTCTTATGTTAACAACATTAAATTAGTATACTATAAAAGCTAACATTCTTGAAATAAAAGATTTTGGAAAATGTCCGTTCACTAATTATTATAATAATATGTACTGAAGTATTTTCTTGTTGATCACAAAATTTAGCAGAGATATTGTCAAATATGCACTAATTATTCCAGCTGATATTATAAAGAAAATATCACTCTTCTTTAGTTACATATATATTCAATATTTACCCATGTTTCAGATACAACATATAAAAAAAAAATAAATATAAATTTTAGCCATGATATTAATCGACAAACATGTTTACTAAAACTTGTACGAGTTATTCCAGCAACCAAAAGTTCTTTATGGATTTAAAAGTTTTCTTCATTGTGAACATGATTCCATATAAATTTGTTTAAATGCAAATTTAAATGGCATCCCATGGATTTGAAAACGTTTGTTATTCTCTAGAAGATCAGTCCCCAATTTTTTTTTTTTTTTTTCCCAAAATGCAAGGGAGAAAAAAGAGAGAAATATCAATGTATAGTTTTTATATCCTACAGATTTCATTTAAAAAATGCATTTATAATTTTTTACATTCATAATTTTATTTTAACTTATTTTTTTACTTGTGAGCTTGAGCTTGAATGATAAAACTCTTATAGAATTATGCTATAAAATACTTAAAAAAATATGTGTAATAAAAAGGTTTAGTTTAAAAGAACATTATGCTTTGATTTCATAAGTGCAATATCATTTATTTAATTACAGATGCACATTAAGGACATTATAGCAGTTAATGTATGTCCATCTTTAAATTAATTAGATTATCCAGGATTAAATCAGATTACATAAAACCAAGGGAAAAAATCTTTATGAATGCATTGCAATATCATCCTTATTCATTGGTAGTTGAAATTCGTACTGTTTGATGACAGTTTTTTTTTTTATTTGTCGAAATGGTCAACAGGAAAATGTAATTGTCTAGTACCTTGAAATATATATCACATATCTGTTGATGTATCAACAAAATATATTAAAAACTCATTGGCTTTATTAAAACTCTATCTATAAAACCTTTTCCGGTACTACCAATCTTTAAAAATCTACCTCGCTCATTAAGCTGCAAAGATGTTAAAAAATACACTGCTTTTGTTGAACATTGTACTACTCCCGATAAAGAAAAATATAGGAAAATTCTGCTTAGATTTAAATAATAATCATAATTCTCAAATTTAACCTAATATTAGTATTACCAAAATTTTGATATCAATAGTTGCTTCAAACCTAAAATTATTATCTGTTAAGAAAATTGGGTTAATCTTTGGATTATGGTAACTTAGTGATTTTTTGGCGAAAATTGGGCGACCAACCATGCTACAGCAACCTGCAAATTTTTGTTTGGATGCCATTTTGTTTTCACGAAGTAAAGGCATTTTGGTTAATCTTTGGATTATGGTAACTTGGCGATTTTTTTGGCAAAAATTTGGCGACCAACCCTGCCACACCAACCTGCTAGTTTGTTTGGACGCCATTTTGTTTTCACAAAGTAAAGGCACTTTTTTTTTTTTTTTTAACTCAACATTTTTTTCAACATCTGCTAGCCAATTATGGTATACTAGAACTTTATGAACAAAAGGCTTAATCATGACGATAAGGTTACAAATGGGGAGAAAGGCAGAACGAACGGCTTGCCGCGTTTTTAGATTGCACAGACATTGTATCCAGTACACGTCGAATTTTCACTTAAAAATACATCCCAAGAATTGCACAAAAATGGCATTTCACACTCTGACTATCAATGTACAATGCTAAAGTCTAGCTAGTACCTTTATCGCCTTACCAAAATGTCGCCAAACTACCTGTTACCATATTCCAAAGATTAGTCTAAAATTGTTTTATTATGCATGGTTAAACACATAAAATTTTATGTTAACTAGCATACAGCTGATATTTACATCTTAATTTTTTTAAGAAAAAATAGGCTCATCTTTAGAATATGGTAACTGGTAGTTTGGCGACATTTTGGAGGCGATAAAGGTTACTACCTGGGACTTTGGTAATAATGTGAGCAGTAATCAGTTCCGATTACGCATTTATTTTGTGAGGGAAATGAGAGATCATGGGATATGTCTGTGATATTAATGGACGAATTACGGTTCTTTAATCGGGAAAAGGGGGGGAAAAGGGAAAAAATCTGGAAATTTTGTATTTGGCTTTATTCTGTGTTGTGGAAACAGTTCGGTAATTTTTGGCTCCCATGGCCCTAACTAAAGTGAATTTGAAATGGGTATTTAGTGGGATTGAAAGGGGTAGTAATAAGTGTTTCTTAAGGTTGTGCGAGATAGAAGTAAAGAGGTTATTATTTATTTTACTGGTACCTGCTGTGAACTATAAGTATGATTTAAGATCTGAAACAAATAAGAAAAGTTTTCGGATACGTAATCAAGATCTGAAGATTAGGTAAGTTAGTATTTTTAATTATTTGAGGATATTATTTTATGGCATGGTCTAAATGTAAGGTGGAAGTAATTTGGATTATTGGGAAAATTGTTATTAGCAAGATTAGTTTAAAGTAATTAGGATTGTAAGCTAATTTTTAATTTTTTAATGTATGTGCTTATTTTATTTTAAGTAGTTTTTTGAATTTAATTATATTTTTATTAAATGATAGATTTTGTGAATTTTATGTTTGTAGGAATTTGTTATACCTTTTAGTTGAAAGTAAACGTGCATGGAATAATTTAAATTTGACACTAAGTATTTGTAATGTTGCGGTATGAATTCGTTGGTGACGTTTATAATATAATAGATAAAGTTTTTGGATATTTTATTATTTTATAATGGAATATTCATATTTGGAAAGGGTATATACTTTTTTTTATTAGGTAATTTATATGTTCTTTTCACGGGTTTAAAAAGATTCAAAAATTGTCATGCTTTTCGTGAAATTTTCTAATTTATGAGAAAAAAGGTGTGTACATTATATCGTGAAGAGTGTGCGCAATGCCTTTTTGTATAATTCTGGGATGTTTTTTTAAGTAAATAAGTCAATGTGTAATGGTTTATGTGTATGTGTTTTTGAAAAAAACGCGTAAAGAGTATGATTGTGCACTTTTTCCCAATTTTGCAGTGAATATTTGTCATGATTAAGCAGTTTTGTTAGATAAAATTTCTAGCATAAGTGTAATTCGGCTAGTAGATTGTTGGAAGAAGTGTTCAGTAGATTAAAAAGAAAAGAAACATGTCTTTGGTGGCGGGAAAAAAAAAATAGAGGGTTGCTGTAGGAGAGTTGGTCGCCAAAAAATCGCGAAGTTAACACAATGTAAAGATCAACCAAAAAATAGTTTAACTTCACATATGACAATATAAAAATTTTATAAATTTGTTTTCATTTTAAATGTAAATAAATTTATTATTATAACAAGTTACTGTTGCCTTGTTCTGACAGATTCAAACATAGTCCAAAATTACTGTTTTTTAGAATAAATTAATATCCTTTTTCTCTAATTGAATTAATATATAATTGGGCAATACAAAACATATTGTGTGGGTTACCCACACAGTTCTTTTCTACAACCTATTCACTTTCTCAATGATCATAAACTTGAAATAAACAACAGAGTGCTTCAAATCAATTTCTAATTTAACTTCTATTATTAATGATTTGGTTGCCTTACTGGTATGGTGGTCCTAGAGCCAGCTACCATAGCTTTCGGCTCCAGTTGGAATTCTAGAGCTGGCATGCTGCTTGTAATGGTATAATATCTTGTAATGGTATAGAGACATGAGTGCATTTAAACTACTGCTGAGCTGAAAGCCTTTTGAGAAACAGATGGAAGAGTTAGAGGAAAGTATCTTCTGATCGAACATCCAAGAGATTCTCCCTCAAAATTCGGATGAGTTTAGGCAAATTCCTGAAGCCATCTACAGAGTATTCAAGCCCTAAGTAAATGACAGGCACAGTCTTTGCCTCTTTACCACAGTAGAGTTCATGGACTTGATCTGATGCTATTGTCATACAAATGAGATAAGCTACCACACCACTACACATGAACATTTCTCTTCCAAAATAATAATAATAAAAAAATAAAAAAAAAAAAAAAAAAAAAAATACAGATCCATCCATATATAATATACGAACTAATTTTAATAAATTAAATGTGATAATCAAGATTTAATATAATAAATCCAGGTAAAATAAGAGTCTACAATTAACTCTTTGAAATAATTAACAAGTAATTAAAATATGTTACAAATATTCCACCAAAATTATGTATAAAATAGTTATTCGGTATTTTAAAAGTTGCTCATGAGTTACAACTCCTCCTAATAAATTGTTGTTGATAATGTTAATTCACTAATAACGAACAGAATATGTCTGAGGATATGAGAAAGGATTATACCACTCACCATTGAGTTTTATTTCAGAATCTATTTTATTTTCTGCGACATACTGAACTAGTAATTCCACCTTAGATTGGATTTGAGGTTTCACTTTAGATACTATATGGTATAATAAATTTCCAGTAGCTTTAGCTATTCCATTTGCTGAGGATTTGTTTGCCTAAGAGAAAAGACATGCATATATTTATAAATACATAGTGAATGTAATTGGTGTGGTGGACTTTAATATTTTAAATGCATTTGTTGAATAAGGTTTGTAACAAAACGTTTCTGTTAAAAAAACAGACAGCATCTGCTTATTACCAATTCAATGACATGAATCAATTCCTTACAGAGTTTCTCATTCTTCGCAGTTTCCTTTGCTTTCTGTTCAGAAAGCCCAATGCTCATTAAATTATTTAACACTGTCAAATCTTGCGACATGTTGGCGCGGATTGTTTATTCGTGGCGGAAGTGAAACTTACAGCATAGTCGCACCGATGATGCCAACAATGAAAATCTATAATTTAGTTTTTGACATACAAAGAACAAAAGTTTGGACTCTGATACTAAAATCTGCGATCCTGTCTACAAATTGTATCCAAGACTTTATTTATTCTGCATCTCGAACAAAATTTAGTTTATTGGATGCAAGTTTTAAGTTTTCATAACTTCCGTCATAGGCTAAAGCAGGGGTTGCCAACCCTACGCCCGCGGGCACCATGGCGTCCTAAAATTGTTTCAGTTTTCAATAAAAATTCTAGGTGAACGTTTTCTAATTTTTAATGAAAAAGAAATTTCGTCCAACATAGATACCAGCACAAAGCGAAATATGATAATTTTTTAATTGTTTTTATTTTTTTAACTCTATCCAACTATAAATTTACCTTGAAAACGTAAATGGTGCCCTCCATCCAACAACAAGGTCGTAGCTAGGGTTTTCAGCGCCCAGGGACAACTGAAGACTTCGCGCCCCCTACTGCTTGCCAAGGATGGAAAACATTTAATTTTAAAATGTAACATCAGTTTGGCGCCCCTTGGATTCTGCGCTCTGGGACAGATGCCCCCCCTCTAGCTACGCACCTGTCCAATAGATATTCTATAATGTGCTTTTAGGAGCAAATAGGTTGAGAACCCCTGGGCTAGAACCTGGTCGAGACTTTGGTACTCATCATCGCTGCTGCTGTAGTAGTTTACATTCAGCACTAACCATCCTTTCAAGAGCTGAAGAAAGTAATATATGTTAATAAGGAATATATCGTTACAGGAGATATCAGGTAAGCTTATGCTTATTCAACGTTATGTGTCTTTATTCAGGGATGTTAAATGTTGATATTTTGCACTGAATGGCACTTTTATACGAAAATGAGCATTTCTGAGAAATTCTCACGAGTGCTAAGCGATAAATTTGCCGAACATTGATACTTTGACCTGGGTTTATACTTGAATAAATAATGTAATGTTTTCATTAGAAACGAAACAGTTAAAAACAATGAAAATGCGATCTACATGACTTACCACCCCTATTACAATAACTTGATATTTCCTGTATAGATATATTATGCAAAACATTCGTTGAAATATTCGAATTTCATCG